AAAAAAGGAAAAATGAAAATGAAAGAGTTGTTCGGAACAAGAGAAAAGGGTCTCAATTATCTCTCGTGTCACGGTTATACGTCACAAACCTTAGTGCACGACATGCAGGGGAGCATGATTATAATCCGCTGGCTTCCGGCCAAAATCGCATAGAAAACCCACCCTTTCGTCCCTCGTAACCCCGGTTGCCCTAAGTGTCCGTATGATACGAAGCGTTTCGTTGCATCGAGGAGAGATAATTAAACTAACAATGTCGAGATCTCGCTTGCGCGCTGTTTCCTGCCTCTCCTCGCTTCTTTCTCCAGCGTCTCTCGTCCCTTCTTCTTCCTTGTTTATCTCTCTTTCTCCCGCTTCTTTTTTTCTTTCTCTCTTTTTTTTTCGGTGCTTTCATGCACTGGATCTCGTTTAATGACGACAGGAGACTCGTTTCGTCGCTCGTCAAGGACCAGACTCTCGGGAATAAGCAAATTACCTGTTTCTCGAGACCGCTACGACTTTCTGCGAAATGCAGATACAGGGAAAATTTCGCCATGTCACAGGTTTCACAGTTGATTGCCCGTGTATTTTTGTCTCTCGTTTGCGCTTACGTTTGCGCTTCAATTAGTTTTTATTTATTACTGTATTCATTGCTTTCGCAGATTATAATATATGAAGTAGTTCATATTGAAAACTTGGAATTTCTCTCTGAGCTGCTCCACTAATTCTTTCAATCTGTCAATTTGAAATTTATAAATATAAATAGCAATTTTCTTTATTTCCATAGATTTTCTGACTGGAAAGTAAGACTCCAATAGTCGTTTTCCAAAAATTTTAAATCTTTTAGAACACTTTCACACGTGATTCTAAACTGTCAGTCGATAGTTGAGACTTTGAAAGCACTTCCCACATCTTTTTTTTCTTTCTTTTTAAATATTGCATCTCATCGATGAAATACATCATATGGATCATGCACTGTTATAGTTATTTCCCGCGCCCTCAATCAAATTTATTCATCGTTCATCTCTACGACGTTCTTGATCCAAGAAAATTCGACAAAAATTCCATCACTGCCGCTGTAAATCAATGAAACAAAATATGTGTCGTGCGCGCACAAATCCACGTCTCGTATGAAGTATTACGGTCCCAGTGTGTGTTTATGCAACTCATCGATTATTTCGAACCGTACTGACATAAATAATTCGCCGGTATTTTATTCGTTCAGCTGTGCCCGAGTTCTACAAGTATTCCCAAGCGATCGATCACACGGTGCAGTTCTCTACCGAAATCAGGGAATTTCTTTGCGAGATCTACGTAAGTATGTGTGTCCGTGGTATTTGTCCTTCCAGAAGCGACAGCTATTCTTTGCACACGGTGCCATCTACGAAACGGTGAAACGTTACCAGACCAGTTTCGTCAACCAGCCCGACGATCTTCTTATCGCGCGTTGGCTCCCACTTTTCCTGTCACCTCCGTCGGTATCCGGCTATTGTTGCTTAGGGGTAACTTTCGCTTGAAGTTTCAACCCTCTGTTAGATGGCAGCACCGGCGTTCTACCGACAAAGAGGGTTTTGTCGGGGAAGAAATTTTGAACGCGACATGTTTCTAACTTCCAGATGTATTTGTACTGACAAATGAAACTTTTCTTCACTATGTTTACACATAGTTTTCCAAGCACGTGACATTGGAGTGTCAACCCTTAGATTAATTTTGACCCATGGAGATTTTTGTTTGCAGATATAATCACAAATTCGGAATAAATAGTTATACTTGTGTTTGTCTGCTGATTTTACTGTCAATTCGATTTAATAATATTTTTATACAATAGATTCCGTAGTAGATATCGATGATATTTTCAGCATTATGTTTCCTACCAGAGTAAAATTCTATGATGTTCTTTTTGGAATACTGAGTAATATCAAAGTTACTTTATTTGATCAAAGTTACTTTATTTGATTTATACTAAGATTCTTCAACGAATTTCATTATCCCTGTCTACAAGTTTAAAATTCTTTTCCATTCACTCTTCACTTTCTTTATGTCCGTGACAACAACGACCCCAGTCTATATCAATCAAAGATTAAATAAAATAAAACAATTATTGCACACCTATCTCAATGTTTCTGTTCTTTACGCCATTCGATACGAACAAACAAATTACAGAGCCTACCGCAGAATGATTCTAAAAGTCCACAGTAATTCCCGAAATTCATCCGATCATGCTGCATCAAGGAATCGTTCGATTTTCCTTTACGATTTCTTTACGATATGCCTCGACAAGCCAAAGTGAGGCTCAAACGCAAGAGTAAAGAAAGGGAGTGACAAGGGAAACGTATTTCGAGTGCCTAGTCACGCGTGCGGAGCAGGGTTCACAACCAAGATTCCCCAAGGGACGATACAAATCGGTGGAGCTATCGAGACACGAAGAGAACAGGGGGTGATAACCAAATTAGGTGCACGTAGAGCTGAGCGGTGTACGCAAATGCGACACGTGTTCAGGGTGCACCGATCGGACGGATCATCAACGATACAAGCAGCATAGACAACGACACAGCGACGCCTAACAACAGAACGATTTTCTTTTCCTTCTTTTCTTCTTTTTTGCTTTCTTTCTCTGATATTCGCCGCGCGAATGGCGCACGACATCACGAACGATCGCGCGGAAGGGAACCTGGATGCCACGATGAGGATTTTTAAGTACGAAAGATATTTAGAAATATGTATATTTATAGGGCATGTATATCTATATGGATAAAGGCATTATTTTAAATATATTTATTAGCAAAGACAGATTGAGTTTTTTTTTTTAAATACCTTTCTGAATTTCTGTTGTAGAGTGATAATTAGCATTAGGAATATCGCTACCGCTGGATTAGGATCTTTCAAAATCTTGCTGCAATTGTGCAATTGATATCTAGCTTTATTCATTAAGAACTGTAGATTCTAGATGACAGACATTAGTTCAATCGAAAGTAGCATCAAGAACTGTCAATATACCTCTTGAAGAATTTAAACAAGTGTAATCAAAGTAACATAATAAGAATAATACCAAAGTACGCGCAGGAATGACAAAAGATATACAAAAATATACAAGGTTCAGTCTCGAGAAGAGTGAAAATTTATTTCGCCGAAAGCACTCGCGACAAGAGAAGAACAAAAAAAAAAAAAAAAAAAAGGAACAGAACTTTTAGGCCATTTTGAGCGAGGAAAAGAAAAAAAAAAAACGAAATAAATCTACGAAACGCGAGTCTATGCTCCAATCTATGTTCAGCAGCCAACAATACCTTCTGCTTCAAAACAGATCCTCAAGAGAAACGGGCATCCAGGTTTTCCTCTCCCGTACGATGTGAAAGCATGATAAACGTACGTACGGGTGCAATAAGGGGGAACGATATGGGGTGTCGAGCAATTCAAGGAAACGGGCCAGCTGTGTGAACACAACGTACCGGGTGGTACGCGCGTACACGCGTCTACGTGCAAAAGTACAAGGGTGGTTGCGGCGGCGGTGGGTGCACTGCAAAAAACCCTTTCTGTCCGATCGGTTGGTCAGCTGGGTTGGGCTACTTGCTTACCTGTCGGAATTGTCGAATGCCGCCATTGATCCGCAACGAGTCCGCCGCGATGCCGGCAATTCCGTCGCTAGGCTCGCGCAACTGCCGCAGAGAGGCAGCACTTGGCGCGGTGCCGGTGTGCAAGGGGCAACAGCATCCGGAGCAGCAGCATGCGGACGCTTCCGGTTGCGAGCTTTGTCGTATTATGCGTGCGCTCGGCGACGTTGTAACCAGAACCGGAGGGGGCGGTACCTGACAAGGGCAACAGTGGTGCCCGCTCTTCACGCTTTCCCTGAAACGTAGGCAGATCGTTGTTATTGACAGAATGGGATTAATCATTTGCGCGTGTGATCGTTTTCGTTGACCATCGAATGACAAATGGTCATTCTGGCAAAACGTGGGTTAAAACAATTCGGTTCAAACGAATCGATAGCACCGAGATGTTGCTTTGAACGTTATTAAAGGCAATTTATTAACTATGAAATATAGGGATGTCCCAAATTTGAACGTGAAATTTTCGAGAGCGTACAAAGGCGTATAAATACTAAGAAAGAAAGTTTCTCTAAGGGGGGGAAAAAAACCTCTTCAGAGATTTGCTCGTTTCTCTGGAAATGGGGATTGGAGAATTCTCTAGAATGGAGAAAATCATGAAGGGAAAGAAATGAAAAGAAGTTTCGATCTTCTTGCTTGTTCAGCAAGTTTGTTTGATCCCGATCAACTCAGGGGAGTAACTAACACACCAAATAAGAAACCATATCGTAGCGCATCGAACATTATGTCTAACTACAATTAGAGCGATCCATGTAATGCTTATTTAGTTGCAAATTTCTGCGCCAATCTTTTGAACAGTGTCTTCATTAAATAGATAATATAGATGATGCTAGAAGATGATAATATGAATGATAACATCGATAAGTGTAAATAAATAAATGGAAATACAAAAACCTGTTCCTTATACGCTTTCGAAGGTTTGACATTTAAATTCGGAACAATCTGTGCATTTAGAATCTTATCACATTTGGGAATACACGACAACAATCATATTAATTATTGTTACAACGAATTAATTATTCTTAGTAAGAATGAACCGAGCATCCGCCAAATGAGGATTAAGCACGGTTGTTAATGAACGATAGAATGAATATTTTATGAAACATATTTTATCTTAGCATGCGCAGCTGGTAAGGTAACATTGCAGTTTATACAGATTGGCAGATTCGATTACGTTCAAGACTTAATGTTCCTCAACAAAATGAAATTGAACGTCAAGGTTTAATTAAGATTGAGAAGAAGCGGCACGCGTGACGATTATCGATTCAATTTCGTGAATATTTTATCGTACGAATAATTAGAATTTTATTTACAAGTGAGTAGAGAGATCGAGAAACATGGATGGAAAAATTATTTCGCCATAAGACACGAGTCCTTCACGTTCCATCTTCTTACGACGAGTAAACTACCGGGAATATCTTAATTAATAATAAATATTTGCCAACAATTTGCGAACTTGAGATGGAGTTCGAGAGTTTACTTTTGTTATTGAATCGTCGTAGATCGTCGATATTGGAACAGTAAAGATTTGCTGAAT